CCCCCCCCCCCTCCTGCTGCTTCAACCCCCTAAGGATAGGAAGGTTTATCCCAAGGAAAAAACAAGAGTAATGATCAATGGTTAAATCCAATGTTACACAATAAGACAAGAACTGAAAGACAATCACTTCAAAATAAATTTTATTTGTTTACAATAAATAATTCCCTCTTATTATTCCCACTCTTAAATTAGTTTCAGAGTTTTCTTAGAAATACATTTGAACGTCAGATTAGATGAGGCATATGTTCTTTCATTGTTGGTTTCTGCTCCAACAAGTTAACACTGTACAAAATGACATGGGAGGTTGTCTGGTTCTCACACCAGGCGTCCAAGGTAAATTGACTTCGGGAAATTGATCTGTAGCTGTTTCCATTGAACTAGAAAGTGATCTGCAATGTAGTACATTATTTTTCCGGATAGTGACAGTGTCTTCACTCGGCAGATACTTTCCACAAACACCACTGTAATATCTTTTAAGCCAACAACCTGAAGGAATGGAATCATATTTCACAATTCTAGTTTTAATAAGTGTATGTTGCTTAAATTCAGTTCAATAATTAGACACCTATATAAATTTTGACAAATGATAAAATAATCAGTTCAACTTTCATTACTTGAGAAATACATACAAAAATAAATAAAATTATTGATTAGCTGAAATTGTCACTAGCTAATAATTATTGTCAAACAACTACACTTGCAAACTTCTCCTTTTACTTTAACAAATTCAAATAAATGCAAATCATAATAATTGAAGATCAAATAAACTTTGTATGAGGAAATCTTGATTACACGAGGACTGAGAAGCTCTTGAAGAAAATATTAACAGACCTTGGGAGTGGGGGAGTAGTTAGAGTGCTGAACTCCACATCAAGCATTCCAAGTTCGAACCCTGGTCAAAGCGATGCACTGTGTTTAATTCCTGAGAGAGCCACTTTACTGTTTCTGTTATTGTTCAGTGGGTAATTATGGGGGGCGGGCACCCAATATAAAAAGGACAGGGTTGTTCATCATACCTTTTAGAAGACTGATAAATCATGTTTTCCAGACCTCTTAGGGTGTTCAGTCTTGCAAGGTCCACAGCGGAAGCTTTTCGGTACCTTTCAGGGTATCGAGCCGCAAAAAAAATGATTATGACAGTAGATAATTTGTTGTTTTAGAATTGGTACCTTTTAGGGATGAAAGACATTTCAAGCCACACCCACAAAGCAGGATCTTGGAACCTTACAGATTTTTGTTTTTCAAAATTTCCAATGAGCAACCCCAGTCTTTGTTAAATGGGAGCCTCCCCCCTGGGGCTTGGGGGTAACCCTCTAATAGACTAGTATCTCATCCAGGAGGGGTAGAAATACTCCTCGTCTGTCTGAAAGTCACTGGGATTAGTTCTGAACTAAAAGAATAGAACACTTAAACCCAAAACAGGATTAACCTTTGTCTTACCTTAAATAAAAATGCTGCTAAACAAATTGGAATGCATGTTCCAGGCCCATTACATAAAAGCTAAAGAAGAACAAAAAAAAAAAAAAAAAAAAAGAAAAGAAAATACTTGTGGTGCAGTCTATTATTGCACACAGACAAGATGTTATTTTTTAACATGCTAGATTCTGTTCACAGACAGTGCCTTGGTCACTTGACTAAAGAAACTCCATGTTAATGAAAAAACCAAGTGTAGATTTACAGTCATGTGGTAATAGTAATTATAGTCATAGTAACAGTACATGGATATATTTATTGTGCTGTACTCTCCAAAGGAAGGCATCAATTGGTCTGGTTACAATTTTAGAGGTTTGAATATTAACTAAAACAAATGAGAAATAAATGAATACTTACCTCATTCACATATAATAAAATGGAAAAAAAAAACAGTACTGAGCAGTGCTAATTACATTTTACGAATTGAGAGTGCAGTACACTTTAGTGAGGAGAGACCCACTAGAATTCCGTATTGACACCTTGTGTCATGTCTTAGACTTAAGTTGTTCGATGTTTCCTATCACTGTAATTTTTGTGCCAAACAATCAGCCAATGAAGACACTGGTAGCCTCTTCCAGGCATTCATTTAGTTTAATAGAGCATAGTGCAAAAAAAAACAGCAAAGTGAAAAAAGGGAGAGAAAGGCTTGGTTGTCTCGCCTTCCCACACGGCGCTTCTCCTTTATTTTTGCACACCCCAACCATATGTAACTGAATGCCTTGGAAGAGGCTAAGAAACTTGTAAGAGCTACTTTAGCCATATTGAATTTTTGTGATTGAATCCCACACAGGGAAATTTTAACCTTTTCTTGTTGCTACTTTAGTTTTGAACTTGGTCATTGTTGAGAAATTATGAAAGTTTTAAAGTAGTTATATCACCTAGTTATCTGAAATAGTGAGCAGTTAACATTTGAACTATATTTTACCAATTCTGGCTTCTCCCGCAACACAACAGGAAACGAAAAGGCCAAGGCATTCAATGTTGTAAATATAGTAGAAAGCCATGACTGGCGTACTTCTCTGCTACGTGGAATTCTCAGGATTTTAAACTACAAACAAAAGAAAGTAAGAAAGCATTCATAACATAGATAAATGTATACTCTAACTGTATGCTACAGTTAGTGTACTTTGTAGCAGTTTACACGACTTGTACTTGCAGGGCTCGAAATTGCGACTCACTGGTCGCCAATGCGACCAAAAATTGAGCACTGGCGACTAAATTTTC